GGGTGTATGTATCAGGCCATCAAGTGAACTTTTTGTCCCTGAAGTTGATGTGTTGGAAGCAGACCAGAAAAAATGGACAAGTGTAAGAATTTGACTTTACCAAGGACCAAATTGTGATATCTAGACGACTGGGTCAGAGCAACTCCAAAACTGCAGCTCTTGTGGGATGTTCCTGGTCTGCAGTGGATCAAAAGTGGTCCAAGGAAGGAGAACTAGTGAACCAAAAGGGTCATGGGATGCCAATGCTTATTGATCCAATAGAAGAGATACTGGAGCTCACATTGCTGAAAAAGTAAATGCTGGTTCCTATAGAAATGTGTCCGAACAGACACAGTGCGTCGCAGTTTGTGGTGTATGGGCTGCATGGCTGCAGACCGGTCAGGGTGCCTATGCTGACCTGTGTTTACCACCAAAAGTGCCTACAATTGGCATGTGAACATTAAAACTGCACAACGGAGCAATGGAAGAAGGTGGCCTAGTCTGATGAATCACGTTTTCTTTTAAATCATGTGAATGGCTGCGTGTGTGCATGTTGCTTACCTGGGGAAGAGTTTGTACCAGGATGCTTTATGGGAAGAAGGCAAGCCGGTGGAGGCAGTGTGATGCTTTGGGCAATGTTCCACTTGGAAACATTGGGTCCTGCCATTCATGTGGTGTTACTTTTGACACGTACCACCTACCTACACATTGTTGCTGGCCAAGTACACCCCTTTGTGGAAATGGTATTCCCTGATGGCAGTGGCCTCTTTCAGCAGGATAATGTATCCTGCCATACTGCAAAAATGGTTCAAGAATAGTTTGAGGCGTTGGCTTGGCCTCCAAATTCTCCAGATCACAATCCAATCAAGCATCTGTGGAATGTGCTGGAAAAACAAGCCCAATCCATGGAAGCCCCACCTCCAAATTTAGAGGACCTCAATGATTTGGTACTGATGGCTTGGTGACAGATACCACAGAATCCCTTCAGAGGTCTAGTGGAGTCCATGTCTTGATGGGTCAGGGCTGTTTTAGTGGCAAAAGGGGGACCTACTCAATATTAGGCAGGTGGTCATAATGTTATGACTGATTGACGTATGTCAAAATTCCTAAAGAGGGAACCCACAAGAGAGAACATTTAAAGTGGACCTGTTATCAGATGTATTTTTTTTTATGTTAAGCACAAGCATTCTTAGTAATGTGTCAGTGTTGCACTTCGGGTATTTTTTACCTCTCACAGAGATCTCCGTATACCCCCTGACAATACCCTAATCTGCTCTTCTTTCCGTAAGGATGGCACCATCTTTGTTTAGGCAGTGGCACTGATGCGTTACTGAGCATGCTAAACGTACCATGAAAAAATAAAACTGATGCTCACTGCACTTTAGGAACTAAACTTTGATCTTGAGGGAATACATTTCCAGTGCTGATCTGAGCAGCAAAATGTATCAGTGGGCGATGCCATGTATTAGTGAAGCAGATATAAATTGCACACTTTTGAGAAGGCTCAGATCTTTCTATTGGTAATGATTTTAAAGCCTACAATATTTAATGTACAGTATACTCAAAGCCCCTCTACAAACTGGATGTGGAGTATGGAGTCCCCAGTTTAGAAGCCTATAACGCCATTCATTATAAAATGGGTTTAGAGTGTGTGTATAATAACTGCTGCTTTTCTGAGTACTAAAATGAATACATAAAGAAAAAAAATATTGTAATAAGCAATAATTGATACCATTCATTTATGCAGTTCATGGGCTTGCAAAAAAAAAGTATGAAAAAGATCTACTTGCAAATAGAAAAACAATGCCTAAGGAATGCAGGTGGGGAAGGGGTTAAAAAGAAAGTAATTTGTTAATAAGGAGGGTAAATAGGAATATCCAGAAGCTGGCTTGAGGAGCAAATTAAAATGATGTAAACCTGAACACCAGCAAAAATACATTGTAACAATCTAGGAGTAAATGAGACCTCCAGCTGTTTTCCTGGCTGCATCATACAGGAGCCGCTGTCGGTGCTTCTTATACACAGAGCGGGACCTGGCTGTGCCACCGACGACCAAGCCCCTCCAATTACACCAGGAGTGCCCCACTTGTCAGAATACAAACAAGGATACTACCGCTGCTGACTTGTTCTTTTTCAAGTTGCAAGCTTCATCCAAGCCTTTATCCTCACTACTTCTTAATGCTTAGTCTCTCACCCAAAATATACATGCAGCCAGTGCTTTTAGGACATACAGGTGAAACTCGAATAATTAGAATATCGTGCAAAGTTCATTTATTTCACTAATGCAACTTAAAAGGTGAAACTAATATATGAGATAGACTCATTACATGCAAAGCAAGATAATTCAAGCCGTGATTTGTCATAATTGTGGTGATTATGGCTTACAGCTCATGAAAACCCCAAGAACCCCAAATCCACAACCTCAAAAAAGTAGATTATTACATGCAATCAATAAAACAAGGATTGTACATAGAACAATATCGGACCTCTGAAAAGTACAAGCATGCATATGTACTCAGTACTTGGTTTGGGCCCCTTTTGCAGCAATTACTGCAATTACTTTTGCACAATATTCTAATTATTCGAGTTTCGCCTGTACTTGTATCAGTTCGGTGGCTGTTGTAGGTGGGTGCAGGAGCCTCTTTTGATTGAGTTGGGCAGTGATTTCCTGTGTCGGAGTGCTGGAAGACCCTGGGTAGCATATCTTATCCAGAGCTCGGCAACTGTCAGACCAATCTACTGTCGACTGGTGGAGTGGGAAGAGTAAGTGCTTAGGAGTTTAATGTTTGTACTAATTCAGTGGTTGCTGGCCCTGTTCTGGTAATCTTACATGGAAGACTTTACAGTAATGTTTGAAACCCATATAAAGCTGCTCCATGTTTAATGACAACCACCAAACACCAGCATGCAAGGGTACATTTTTTTAATGAACACATGCAGAGCAGTTCTAGGCCTTGTATACCATCACTCTGCTCACGCTCTCCACGGCGACCCCATCCTGCTTTTACCTCCTAGCAATGTCTCTGTGACCTGATGGGTCCTTACCTTGAGCCTTCCTCCATCCACCTCCACCAAGCTGTATGTGTAGCAGTTCCCACATATTACCAAATATTATAACACCATTTATTAAAGTGTTATTGAAAAACTTGTGATCTGTAAATTCTCAGCATGTTTTGCCCTGCACGTACCAATCGGGAACTGTTTGGTGGCAGTGATAAAAAGGGGATCAGGGCTTTCTCTGGATTTGATATCAGTTGGAGCTTCGGCTAAAAGATTGTGTCTTAGATCTGAAGGTGAGCTCTGGGGTGTCATTAGACCTGTATTACAGCAATGTAGTTGGGAGGATGTTAGTAAGTTAGCTCTGGTAGGTCTAGAGGTGAAATGAGGTGACAAGTTCTCTCAATGTTCTTCAGGAGGAAGGAGGAGGATTTTCCCTTAGATAAACTTTACAGTCACCAAGCACATGCCTAAGAAGTGCAAGGCTTACTCACCAGCAGGCTAGTCTGTGCCAACCATGGCCCCAGATTAACCCTTCTCTCCAGGCAGGATTGGGTGAATGATGGATCTGTAGGCCTGCCTTGTAGAGCAGATACTTGGATGATGAGCACAGAAGGCACTTTTGAAAGCATTGTCACTTTCAGTACTGAGAAGGGCGAACATACAAGAGAGTAAAATAATTTTATTTCCCACATTTTTGCAGATACGATCAGTTTGCTGGAAGGAAGACTTCTGAATTATCAGGTAAATCTCTAGTGATAAGATTTTAATGAGCTCAAATGTTTGTGTGCTTTGGGACTTCAGCTTGTATGAGAGCAGTGTGACCAGTGAGCTTTTTATAGAGCATTTGCAGAGCTAAGGATGAGCTGCTTTGAAGCTTTTTAAAGCACCCTTCAACTCCAATTTGGGAATGTCAAACACAGATCCTAACGGGAATGCTGACTGTCACTTTAAACAAGCTGGAGACTAGCAGACCATTAGGATCTGGAATTGAAGGGTGCTTCAAGAAAGCTTGTGGAAAACTTGGCATTCACACTGCTTATACAATCTAAAGCATGTGTCAACTAGTTTCACAATGGAGATCGATGTCAAGATGAAGCCCTGTCAACTGCCATCTCCTGTCCTATTAAACTGACTGACCGCCAGGCCGTCCCTATGAAGCAGCCTGAGGCGGTTGCCTCAGGTGGCATCTCATTGGAGGAAAGGGGGGAGGGGGGCGCAGCCACGGCCACAGCATCCCAGGATGCTAAGAGTTCTTGGCAACCTTTGATGCTCACATCACTGGTTGCCAAGAGCTGAGTAGGTCGCTCTGACTTACATCCCACCGAGCGTATCCTGGAAACCAGTGATGTCAGTGCGTTGGATTGGATGCCAGACAGAACTGCTGACGGCACTATCCTGAGGCCTCCGCCACCCCAAAACCCCCTTTCACGGATCGATATCGCCTCGGTAGTGATTACCATAGGGACAGCCCTGCTGGCAGCCATAGCTTTCTTATAAGGCAGGGGACTGTAATTAATGTGGCTTGGCCATGAAATATATGTAAACCCAAATTCTTTTTCTTTTCAGTATGTTTAGCATCATGCCTCACTGTGCACAGTTTTATTAAGCATGTTACTGTTTTTTTAAATATGTTGCAAAGCTTCTTCCCTGGCACTTCCTGTTACAGGCTGACATGGCTAAGCCACCGGCTCTAAAGTAGCGGCAGCGTTGTCAGCCTGCACTGTGAGCTCCATCAGTTGGTCATTGGGCTGCCTATCTGATAGACTTGATTGATTTAGGACTTGTGTACACTTTGTCAGGCTCCTGGTAACATAGTGAAACTAGGTTCAAGTGGGCACCCGGGGGGTTGGGAGGGTTCTGGTAAAGGATAGTAATGATCCATACATTTTTGACATCTGTAAAAAAAAAAAAAAATCGAGGCAACTGGACTCGCTGTATTTTTCTTGAAGATGTTTCGCTGGTCATCTGACTAGCTTTCTCAGTTTAGAATTGAGAAAGCTAGTCGGATGCCCAGCCAAACACCTTCAAGAAAAATACAGCAAGTCAGTTGCCTTGATTTATTTTTTATAGATATACCATGACCTGGGTGAATGAAGGCATTCACAGACCGCTTTTGATGACACTGATGGGAATAAAAGGCCGGATATACTGAAATAAAACATTAGAGAGGGAATTTAATTAAACTGGAGAAGACAAAATCAGGAGCAGCTGTGCATAGTAACCAATCGGCTTCTCTCTTCAGCTTGTTCAGTTAAACGTTAAAAAAATGGAATCTAGAAGCTGATTGGTTGCAGTGTAGAGCTGCTCCAGATTCTTAGTAAATTTCCCTTTTTATGAGTTTTCATCTCTGATGCCTCTAATAAACCTGGATGCATATTGTACATAACTGTATAACATTTTGCTGTCTTTTAAATAAAATGTGCCGGACAGATTAGTGTGATGGATTTGAATCACCTGATTTTTCAATGTCATTTAATTGCAACCTTCTTTAAAGGAGAACTATGAGGTGAGTGAAAATCCCTCATCCTCATAGTTCGAGCCGATGTGTGACAATGAAACTGTCACACATCGGCTCAATAGATCGGGAAGTGAGCGAACACATACCATAGGTCGCTCACTTCTCGATCATCTCCACTGTCAGTCACTGCTCCCTGCAGGGATCCCCCCTCCCTGCTCCGATCCTCCCCTCCCTGCTCCGATCATCCCCCCCCCCGCTCCGATCCTCCAGTGCTGATGACTGGCGGGGGAACGGACAGGTCAGGGGGCGGGCACAGCTGGCTCTGCCGCTAGGTAGGCAGAGCCAGCTGTCACTCACGCAGCTGGGTGGATCTTGACGGTAATGTAGCTTGCGATTATACTGAGCTTTGGGTCACGGGAGGACGCTAGTATATGACCTCCTGTGACCCTTAAGAGAACTATGGGGAAAAACACTTACCCCATAGTTCTCTTTTAACTGAGTATGTCTTATAATTTTTAATTTTTTTTTTAACTTCATTTCCTTTTATGCGTGCTGCGATTGTGAATGTCTTTTGATTTTATCACTTGTTATCACAATGTTCTAAAACTTGCATTAGAAAAAGAAACGTTCTATTCTAAAAGTAAAGACAATTGAATCCTGAAAGTCTCATGTTTTTTTGGTGAATTGCTGACTATTGATTTGCCTGATTTGTGTGGGTTCGTCCAATCGGCAGGGGAAGATACAGTTCTGGAATCCAGGTCGATAAATCCCCCCAAATGACAAATTAGCAATTTGCCGGACGAGATGAGACTTGTCACACAGATTCCTTCATCTCTAATAAAATGTGTGGGGAAAAAAAATGAAATTTGAGCCTAAAACATTTTCTGTCTCTTTGCAGCGTTCTCATCAAAAGCTCTCGGGGTCCCTGGATGATGTTTCTGACCTGAACGCCGCGACTGAACAGTCGCTGGCACATGGCGAGGAGGAGGTGGGTGCAGCATGACGGATCTCTCGCTAAGTGCTGCGCACGGTCTCTGTTTTCACTACATATAAACAGAGTTCGCTCTGCTGTCAAATGGACAGTAAACGAGTCTCTGCAGATGATCCGGCGTGGTTCGGAGGCGATCGGTAACTTGCACAGCCAGGAGCAGCTGGGGTGGGATCAGATAACTGAGCGAGGAGTGAGGCGGCCCATAAAGCAGGGGGAATAAATTATTTGTCAATGTACAAACATTTTCCCTTCCTTTACAGAAAAGTTGCATTTACGAGGGAATTGGTCTCCAAGAAGCCATCCGGTTATTTGGACCTCACAAGACCAGCGCGGACAGTCTGCATGAATTCTCGCCGTTATTAGGTAATAGCACAATGATTCATCGCTGTCTGTTAGGATAACGCAGGATTTGGGGTTTATTCCTGCCAAGGATGTTTGTATTCGAAATGTTTTACTCATTCTTGCTGCAGTGTAGTTGCAAAACGTTTTTCACAAACTTAAGAAGACTAAAGTAGACCTGTCATTGAAATGTTCATGTCAGATAAATCCACAGCAAGGTCTGCATTACCAGATTGCAATTCTACACTATATGGCAAGAGGTTTGTAGACACATCATGTCCATATGAGCTGGTTAGAGATCCCATTCCAGACGTATTGGTATCAATATTATGCCCCCACCTCTGTTAAATTTGAACTTCCTCGACTCTTATGGGGAGGCTTTCAACAAGATTTTGGAGTGTCTGTGGGAATTGGTGCCATTTGTGAGGTCAGGTACTGATGTTGGATGGGAAGACTTGGCTTTCAATGGGCCACCCAATTCCCAAAGTAATTCAGTTGAGGTCAGGGTTCTGTGAAGGCCACTTGAGTTCCATCATACCAGACTGGTCACTCTGTGTCTTTTATAGAGCTAGCTTTGTACACAGGGGCCCAGTCATGCTGGAACAAAACAGAAAAGGGCCTTCACCAAATTGTTACCACAACTAATGTCAAAAATGTCTTTGTATGCTGTAGCATTGACAGTACCCTTCACTAAAACACCGAAACTTTTAGAGAGGAGTCCACATCCTTTGGCCATTATAGGAGGTGTGATGGTCCACAGGCATTTCCCATTTTTAGTGTATGTTGAGTAAAAAGAAAGGCTGTTGAGCTCCTTAATGCCTGTCAGTGGTCACATGATTTCTTGATCGCAGGAGCATCTTCAGTGTTTCACATCATTAGAGAAACTGCGAGATTTCTATTGTATCCAATCTGCATGGCCCTGTCTGGTAGATTTGCCTTTGAGATGAGAGGATCTGCAAGGACACAAGTAGGAAGCAGAACCTGCACTTGAGATAAATGATTGTCCTTTGAAATATGGCACTGGCTGTGGACGGGAATGATAGGGTGTCACAGATTCCTGTATTGCAACAGCTGTGTGCCAGTGACAGCCCAGTTCCATTCCAGCTCTCCCAGATGGTCCATCAGCTTCATAGCCTACAGTCCTGCTATGGTGTGTCTTGTAGTCCAATGCAACCACAATCCTGTGGATGACTGTCTGCTGTGAATGAGAGCCTGTCAATATGCAGGTTGTGTGCATCAAAGTGTATCTAAAGCCAGTTTTAGATAAAGAGTGTTAAGGGGCTTGAATCCCATCAGATATTTTACTCTGTCCCTGTTTAGGGATATATATATACGATCTATGTGTCCTGGTCATCATTGCATTGGGATTTGAAAGCAAGAGAAAATGCCACAGTTTGTGTTATTACCAAAGCAGGAATATAGGGGAAAATCTCCCAGTGAGGACACATAGATCCTGTTATGGTGACAGCTGAGAGGGGAATTTCCCTTCATTTTGGAGAGATTTCATCTTCATTATGTATCTAAGATACTGTCTATAGGGCATTTTTCTTCTGTTGAGATCATGAAGATAAGAGGTTCAGCAAGTTGAAGAGTGACGTGTACTGCATACATTGTACAGATTGCTGAAACAATTCTAAGAAGATACACAGGGTGATTCAATAAAGCAGCTGCAACACTTTTCTGGCACTATGGCCATATGACAAAGTCCTGCAACACATTTATGAGTCATGCAACCATTTATTTCCGGTTTCTCATGCATGTGAAAAATTCTAGTTGTTTTGTAGTGCGTCACTTTTACTTTGTGTTGCTGTGGCTGAGACTGATTAAAAAAGAAATACCGCCATATGGAAAAGAGGTGATTAAAGATGGCCTATTTTTTAAATGTTTTGCCGAAAGTAGGTTTTGTACAAATAGAGCGTCAGTTCTGTTGTGACAGATTCATATACACTTTGCCATGTACACGAATCTGTCGTAAGTTGTGCCGCATGGACAGGAGACAGATTTCTAATGAGTGTCTATAACATTCTCTACAATTGCCTGGACAGTGTATAAATGCTTGGTATATCAGGATTCCCTGTTTACAAACTTTGATGTTACAGGTATCAATTTAAAAACCCTATTTGAATTAATATACTGTTTTGTACTATTTTGTAACTTCATGTAAATTAGTGTTTTTTTTTTTGTTTTTTTTTATTTCTCAGCTGTCAGTTTTTGTATGCTTTGTGTAGCAGGTGTGTGTGTGTATAGCTGTATGGCGAATGATGCAGGCAGTGGGTTTTGATATGTAGAAATGTTGTTGTGGTATTGGCTTTTTGGAAGATGTAAAAAAAGTTTAAAAACTTCTAAACGACTCAATGCAAAATAAAAATTTTGGCTTTAGATATACTTGGTGTGTTTTTTAAAGAGGACGCGCGCGCGCACACACACACACACACACACACACACACACACACACACACACACAC